ATCTCTACTGTGTACGGTGTGCAATGCTAATAAGGCAATTCTTACTCAGCAAAGTGACTCAATGGCTGGCATAAATATAGCCAGGTTTGGAGTCTCTTCTGTGCCAGGAGGAACTGTATTATAAAAGTTGACACGATTTTGGAGATCGAAAAGTTCTTGGCAAAATTCTCCCTTACAAGACGTTGGTTTTAGGATTTTGCTCTGATTTGCTGAAAAGCTGCCAGTAGCATCTGAGCCACTGATGGGTCACAGGAGCTGGCAGAGATATTGGTGCTGTTGGCCACGTGTTGGGACGAGAGGGCCAGATCTCAGTTGGGGAGATGGCTGGAAGGAACTTCACCAGAGAGGGCTTGCCGACCTTGAGGTGCACTTTCAGGACTCAAGGTGGGTGGTGCCAGCAGGCGAGGGAAGTGATTGGCACAGGAGCCTTCCACTTAAAAATCCTAGGAAAATTGCTGATGCCAGGAAGGCTAATCATGCCCTCCTACCCCCAGAGTGCTCATCCTATCCTCATTGGGTACTGCCCCAGACCACTGTGCTGCTGTCTTTGTAATCTGGTTCCAGGACCCCTAGCCCAGCCTACTACTAGTTAGTTATTTCACACCGTTTAGAAGTGCTACTTGTTGCCAAGGTTTTTTACCCCTTTTCCTCCTTATTTGCCAGTGACAGCCACACGCTGCTCACAAAGGAGACTGGTGTGATTAAAAGGCTTCTGTTACTAAGGTAGCCATGGCAACAGCCTCCTTGGAGGTCTTTGTTGCCTGCTAAAACTTTGATCTCCAAAAGTGGCTGCTGCTGTTTCTCCCTCCAATTGAAGAGAAGGATGGGAAGAAAGGATGAAGTTTACTCTGAGCAGAGGGAGCACAGAGGAACTCATTGCAGAGCCGTGCTCTCCCAATAAATCTCACAGCAGCCTCCTTGGAAAAGTATCTGATTTACAAGGGCCACACTTCCTGTTTTATGTTTTCCAGCCTCCCCTCAGGGCAGTGTCCCGTGCCAGGGGCCTCTTGCTGTAGCATGGCTTGGCACATCTTTCCACCACTGAGAAGGAAATAGTTCCCTCTGTAGCTGCTGCATCCCGTGGTTCCACTGCAGCAGGGTAGGGCTGCAGAAGCAGCCTTAAAACAGGAAAAATGCTCAAAAGTTATTCCCATAGTTACACAGTATTTATCACATTTATACATAGTTCCCGTATTTACCCAATTGCCGTGTTCCTGACTGCACCCGCGCCTACTTTATTCATGCCATCATTTCTTTTCAGCTGCACCACTTACCCTAATTATTTTTGTGTCTCTTCTCTGCAGACTCTCTGCTAATTGTCTGCTTGACTCCAGGTCTTCCCTGATCTGCTGCTATTTGCTCTCCCGCTCTGTCACCTGCCTGCCTCCTGTGTATTAACTCCTGTCCTCGCTCGCCTCTGCTGTGTCTCTGCACCTCCTGGAGCCGCTCTGCATCATCCCCTCAGCTTTTCCTCTCCCATTCCTCCTCCTGTGCTCTACTGCTGTGCTCTGCCATGAGCTCCCAGGGGGCTCATGAGCTCCCTGGCACTTCAAGGTTGGCTGGGGTCTGGGGCGTGTGAGGTGCCTGGTGAGAGGCCACTTCGGGCAGGTAAAGCCCCACAGCAGCGTAGCGGGAATAGAGATGGCCTGTGTCCCAGATCCTTTCTGGAATGAGGACAAGCTCCTAGCTCTGACACAGTCACCTGGGACAACCCTGGTAAACGGGGCCATTTTCTATTCACTCTTTTCCCCTGGGAATGTCTGCTGGAGCTCGGTGGTGGGAGCCTGCACAGAGGACACGTAGCTCTCATGGGTGGGAGCACAGAGTTGTGACTCAGCAGCGGTGCCCAGCTGCGTCTTGGAGTGCCTGCAGCCCTTTCTCAGCTGGGCAGAGCTGCTGTGCAGATGAGGTGTGGCCAGATGGTCTGTTGGCAGGATGTTCTACTAAATTGTTTCCTCCCCACCAATTGCTATCTAGCCCCAGCCTCCATCTTAAAGTTTCCTTAAAAAAAATGAGAGAAGTGAGGTGAGCTTAACACCCATGGAAGCAGCATCCTTGGCATAGAGAGCTGGAGGGGTACTGTGACCACGTCCTGGCTGGTGTTACAGCCATGGGTCCAAAAAGAGACCCTGCTCCCTGTGTTTTGGGCACTGCGCAACCCACTGGGGTGCTGTCCCAGGATCCCCTCTGCTGGCCACTACCTGGCTCTGGGGTGTGCCCATGTGTGGGCCAGGCTTGCACAGGCTAGGAGACGAGAGCCAGTGGCAATCCTTGCCCTCTGGAGCTGCCCGGTCCCTGTGCCTGCTGGCAGCCAGGATGGGGGGTTTTGTTCCACTTGTTGCTGGCAGCAGCAGCAGAGTGAGGAAAGCCACCTTCAGTGAGGGACAATGGCGGGAGCCTCCCGTTGCTGGGGTAACCGCGGCCAGCCTCGGCCTGGTGCCTTCCCTGAACAAATAGTGCGGGGAAGGTTTAGCAGAGAATTAATTCAGCCCAGGGTGGGGAAGGGGCAGAGCTGTGGAAAGCTACTGGGGGCATGGCAGTGCAGAGGAGACATTGTGCTCACTGGCTGTCAGCTGAGATAGTCGAGGCAGCAGAGGTCAGGCTGAGCTGTGGTGGTGTTCACTGCTGCCTCAGGTCCTCCCAGGCTTTGTTCATCCCTGCTGGTGGCTCTGGGGCCCCCAGGGCTGTGTGAGCCCGCTGCTAGGGCAGTGATCCAAATTCCCCAGGCAATGCTCTGATGAACTGAGTGGGGTTGCACAAGCAGGGAAATACTTCACTGCTTGTAGGTAGCACAGAGGAACTACTTTGGTTGTCTTCATAATGACTTACCAAGTTCTCAGGCACTGGTTTTTTTTGAGGGATGCTTCTTCCTCGGTCATGTAGTTCCTTTTGGGGATCAGAAGGTACCATAAGACCCAGCACTAGCAGAGTTCAAGGCTCTTCAGGTAGATTCAAAATAAAGCAGGCAGCTATTTGGTGATGGCCGTTTGAGATGGAGGTTTTGCCCTTTATAGGTGACACTCCTTTACCTTTGTTAACATGAATTCAAGCCCTTAATTAGCTGTATACCTCCAGCTATTTGTCCATTGGCATATGCTCTCAGACTAGGGCTGCATGTGAGCTTGTGCAGAGATGATAACACCTGGGAGGCAAGCTACGTGCTCATGTCTGCCCATATGTTCTCCATGCGTGTGGTTCATGTGTGTGCTCTTCACTTACACACACACAGAGGCCTGTGAAAGAAAGAAATGCCTTTTTTTTTTTTTTTTTTGGTTGATGAAAATAAGGAATATATTTAACATGCATGTGAAACATACTGTAAATCTAGGACACTGTCTTACAAGGCATGCATTTGGTGCACGTGTCTGGAGCCCACCTGTGGCACCCAAAATTTAAGCCACACATATGTTGTATACATGTCCATCTGTTTTGTGAGCAGAAGGCATACAGGAGCACGTTCCCATAACATGCTAGTCATAAGTGGTTTGGACACTTGATCCCTGCAGAAAATGGACTGCAAAGAATGTCATGAAACTCTTTGTAAATGTAGATGAAAACGTTGCAGTGGACTGATGGCAAGAGCCCTCCCTCAAAGTGGTAAATGAGGAACAATTATGTGAAACATCACCATGCGATCTTTTGCTAAGAGTTCAGGACCACCTCCTCATGATGGGCGTTACTGTGAGTACTGGTCACCTTTGATGAGTTGCAAATGGCTGCAAAGCACTGCCTGCACTCAGAGTATGTTCATTATGACTCCAGCAGGCTTCCTTGTGGATTTTAGATCTCTACGGGGCCTCTGCTGAAGCACTGAGAAAAAACGGATGGTGGGAATTTGACTGTAATATGTTTCAAGGACAGGCTAGAGGCCCAGGAACTTGGGATCCAGTTCATCATTGTGTCAGAGTGCTGCTTAGTGCAGGACCTGAAGGGCCTATGGGGAGGTTAAAGGTAGCTTTCTACCACTTTTGCATTGGCTTACCCATAGCTGTGCCTGTTACATTACACCCACAGTGTGTGTCCCTCTTCAGAGTGCAGCTCTCCTGTCTTGTGCATGTCTTTAAAAATCCCAGCATGATCCCGGTGCTCTATAACAGAGTTCACAGCACAGCTGCACGGCCGTTCTGCCCATGCAGGTGTGTGTAAATTATAGCTGAACACTGGGCAGGGTATTTGCTGTGCATTGGAAATATCCCAGACATTCAGTGCCAAAACAAATAGGACCAAGCTGCCTTTGGGCTTGGATTTTGTTTGTTTGTATTTGGCTCTAAATTTAAAAGTTGACTTGCCTTTTTTTTTTACCTTTTCCCCTTTTGCAAAGTGACTCCACACAAATTTCTACACAAATCCTCTCCTGGTTGGTTTGCTTTGCTTGGAAGTTGGGCTTTATGACACAGTGTCACCAAGTTCCTCGTGCGTCTCCAAATAATTAGCACATAGGCACAGTCATGCTTCAAGGTTTCTTTCCTGGAGCTGTCTGTGCACTTGCAGAGCCCCACAGGGAGAGTAGCACCCACGGGTTTTGGATGCATGTGTCTGATTTATCAATGGCCTTGGGCTAAAGATGTTTTACATCCACAGAAACTACATCAGTACATTTCAAAAGTAAACAAAGTCCTTCTGTTTGAGCGCTGTTGTGTATTTCCAGGAGCTTTTTGCATGTGTAGAGCATATCATCAGAAAGATGTTACCATGTAACCATGCTAAAGGGACTCCTTTTTCTTGTCATTTTGTGCCTAGATTGGAGAAGCTCTGTTCCAGATTCTTTCCCCCCAGCTCTGCTGATAAAGATAAAATGCAAGGACACAGAAATGGCAGAAGTGCAGAGGCAGACACCGGGCATCGAGCGGGATGACATCTGTGGTTGATAGGAATTCACATAACACAAGAGTTCAAGTGGGCTGATGAGGAAGTGAACTGGAGGCTAAGGCAGGGGCTGGGGAGTGTGTTTTTCTTGAAGTAACCTTTCTTCCTTGTTCTCCTCCTTCTGTCTTTTCTAGGCAGGACAGGGCTGCTTGCTGATCTCTTACCCAGTTTTGCTGTGGAGATTATGCCAGGTATTCAGTCATTTCACCCTTCAACACCCATTCCTCTGTCATCTTGTCTGTTTATCCTCCTGCAGCATCTTTATGTGGTATACATTTCACTTGTATGTGTGTTTTATCTGGGGTAAAGAGAGAAAACCTGTCACTTACTGGGAAAGCGTGTTGGGTTCATATCTGAGAGAGGTGATGCTGGGCCATGCTGGGAGCCAGTACAGAGATGGTTGATGTCATGTCAGGATCAGTGTGAGAGCAGAAATGCCAGTGCTGTTTTGGGGAGGTTTTGTGTCAGGCTCTCTGCTCTCCCCCAGCACAAAACTCCAGCCCACGAGACCTCAACAGCCCCTTGTGGCTCTGCCCCTCAGCTGCCCCTGTGCAGTAACCTCAGCTCTCCAGACCCAGCCTTGTGGCACTGCTACAGTCATTGCCACAGATGGTGGCACAGGAGGTGCTAGAAACAGAACACTGGTTAGCTGCCTATCAGTGACACGACCCCTCTTGTGCTGCATGGCCAGGGCACCATCTCGGTAACACCAGGTGGTTGGAGCAGATGTGGGAGCTCCGTGCCCATGATAGATCCCTTGCTAGCCAAACTAGCGAGAGCCACCAGTGCTGGCACTGCTTGCAGAGGAAGCAGAGACTGTGCAACAGATTGTCCTTGAAAGGGAAAAGCTGTGAGAACATTTAGCTCTTGAGTCATCTGATCATTCCCTGATGGTGCCCGGGGAGCATTTCTTTCACACATTTGTGCAAAAATTTGACTTCACATAAATGTGTGAAGCTGTTTTCGAGTCTTGTCACAGAGATGCAAATGGAGAGAAGGCAGACACTCACCCACCTCCAGTGTAACCCAAACCTCCCTGGAATTTCTGCATGGCAGAAGAGGGATTGGTCTTTTCAGCATAGGCAGCAGTTGATTCTCTATTGCCTAACACTTTTTTCCCCTGTTATTTGCAATTTTATTGAATGAGTATAAAATTCTTGTGTGTTTTCTGATACCCCTGCTGCAGGGGTAAACAAGAAGGAGTAAGATGCAGGAGCAAAACACTTTTCAGCTGTTAGCATTGCCTGTTACCTGAACAAACAAAAGCAGGTACTTCTGCAAGCACAAACCAGTAGTTTCGAGACAGCAAGGACACATAGCACTTCAGCTTGGTAGTCATTTGAATCCCAGTGTTGCACAGTTGTGTCAGGAACACAACTGAATCTCAGTTTTGTGCATACAGGAGGAGCCAGCAGGTGCTTTTGCTGTTTTCTTAACGTCATCAGAGAAGCAAATGGTCTAATTTCCTGTGAAGTAAAGTTGTTCCTGACTCCTAGGTCCCAGTGGTTGTGACACTGATTTCAAACATCCACTTCTGGTGCTGAGTATCTGGCCCCGTGCAAGGTACACACTAATCTGATGCCCTTTTGTACTCCTAGGATGTCTTCAGGGAGACCAGATACTCTTGCAATGGACTTGCTGTGTCTGCTTTTTTTCTTCTACCAGGCTTTTATCCTTTTTTAAGTATTTGTGAACTGTTCACTAGTAGCTCTGGAGATCTGGCATCTTAGCTTTATTTCATAGCTGTGGCTGGCCACTTCTGTCATGCCACCTTCTGTTTCACCACCTTCTCTGTATCCGTGATGGTTGTAGAGGACAAGATGAGAATATGACAAAAGAAAAAGCCACTGAGCGGTTGCCCTGCTCAGATTGGCATAGGTTAGGAAGTACAGGACTGGAAAGGATAGGCTGGCTTGCCATCTTGCTTGCCAGCCATGTAATTTCATCCTTTACATAAGCTTAGCAGGGTAATCTGGGTTCAGCCTTTCTCTTTCCCATTGGATCGCTTTCTTTGATGTGCTTCTTTTACCTTCTCTCTACATTCCTGATAGCCTGTTCATGCCCATTTATGTAAGACCTTTAACTTTTAATTCCTGCTTTTCCTCCTGCATTTGTCCTCCTAGCATATTTATGGGCAGCAGCCATCTGCCCTCAGCCTTCTTTGTAATGGACTAACGCAGGAAGCTCCAGCTCCCCTCATGCAAGGCAGGCTCCTGAGTCCCTTCCTCCCCTCAGATCCCTGCTTTGCATCAGCTCTGACTCAAATTCATCTTTTCTTCTACAAAGATGAGCAGAGCCGTACTATGCAGCTTCAGATGAAGTTACATGGAGGGGAGACCTTGTATGATGGCATTAGTATTTCCTTAAAGCTGCAGGAAATTCCTCCCTTTTTGGGCATAGGATTATGTTTGCCATTTTTTGTGGCTGTATGGCATAACTGGTGGCAGTTACCATGTGATGGAATAGTATACTGGATCACTTCTCTTGTTTTTCAGTTGTTTTCAACTAATGATGTCCTGTTCAGAACAGAAGTTGTTCTTAATCTTTGAACCTCTGACCTTGAAAGTATTGCTGCATACCTTGAAATTCAGGATATTGCTGCATTTCACATTTCTTATTGTAGGTCCACTTGACTCTTTCTGCAACACGCCCCAGTCTTGATCTTTACTGACAATGCATCCTTACTACTTCCTGTCAAGATATAGAACATATTCTTATATTTCTGTGTCAAGGTAAATAATGCAAATATTAAGAAAATAATGCAAATATTAAGAAAAATAGTTGCAAGAACTGGCACTTGAGGAACTGTGTCAGTAATCTCTCAGCTCTTGCTTTTCCATTCATGAATGCTTCTCTTCTGCCATTTCCTTACTTGTTAGCTGAATTCTTCTCAGCATATAGTAAGTTCACTGAAAAAAAATAATTCCACAGGGACCAAAATTAACTGCGAAGTTAAATGAAATTCATCTATGTCAGCCAAAAAAGAAATAAAATATTCAAAAGAAAAAAAGAAAACATTTCACTTCACACTTCTGAAATGAAGTGTTTTGATTCGTAGGTGCCAGATCTTTGACTGACATTTTTTAAAGGAAATTTTAAATTTTAGATTTAAAATGGCATTAAAAAAAGGGGAATTGTTTGTAAAAGGATTAAGGAAAACTCCAGCTAAGCAAAGAATCATACTTTTGTTCAAACAGAGTGCTGTGGATGTATCAAAAATGTCACCTTCTTATTTTTGTGTTTTATTAAGTACTAGGAGAAATTCTGTTTTGATTAGTCCAAGTGGAACATTTTTCCTTGACTTTTCAGCTTAGTGATGCAGGTGAGGGGTGCACTGTTTTTCCAGCGTGATTCTGTGTGCACACTGCAATCCTTGTATCAATACTTCTTCATCTTGGATAGTAATGTACCAGGAGGTGCCTTAGAGAGCTCTGGACATCTTTTGGAAACAGTGGTCTGCTGCTTTTTTTCTCTGGGGTGGGGATAAATCCTACTCCACTGCAGAGCAGCCCCACCATGTCCTTATTTGTTTTTTTACCATTTTTACAAGGTGGTTGAATAACACCTTGAGTCTTTCCCCACCGGTGATCTGGCTTCTGGATAGGTCAGTGCATCTCTCTGGCATAAAACCAACTCTAGGCTTCCAATATGTTCAGAATCTTGAAATTTCTCAGTCCAGATGTGTTCACTGATCATTCCCTTAGTCTGTGGAATTCCCATGTGGCAGTAGGTGCAGCCCTGTGCTCGCAATCCCCTGCCAAGTGCAGAGTGTTCAGATGCAGAGCTGGGAGCTGCCCCAGAGCAGGCTGGGTTCCCCTTCCAACCCCATCCTGGTTTTTGTGGACTGACTCTTCTCTGCTTTCATCTGTGGGGTGTTTTTCAGCTGCTCCCTTTTGGGGCTTGGCTCAGACATCATCTGAGGCTTCAGTGAGGGCTGTGGGGGGGGAAAGTGGTTGTTATGTTTCCTGGCGGGCTGCAGCGCCTGAATGGGATGTTCGCTCGGCACATTCAAAAGAATAATTGCATGCGTGGGCCTTGCTGCAAAGGGGCAGGCCTGGCTCGTTTACTGGGCTATTTATAGCATGCTTTTCACCATCTAGTTTGTCCCATTAAAACCAGAATGTGGGTAGGGAACAAACACATCAGCAGGGCATGAACATGGCTGAGAAGAATGAGTCTTTGATGAGATCCAAATGCTAATGGAGCACGTCCTGTGGCATTCTCATGGGTCTGCTGAGGGGTGAAGGGTTTCTGGGCTGGGGAACTGGAGCTTCTGCCTCTGTGCTGCTTGTGTCTCAGCCAGCCACAGGTGCTGCCAGAAGGGACCACATTTCTGTAGCTCCATTTCTCATTGTCATGTGCCCTTTGGACACAGAGGAGGACCTAGTCCTGGACCCACAGGGAGTTAGTCCAGTTCTGTTATTCACCTGTCTGTTTTGTCCCTGTGCTCTCCGTTGAGAGGATGTTGCTGACGTTCCCTTCCACAGCAATGTGCAATCTTGTAAGTATCTTCTTTTCTCCCCTTGTTTTCCAGAGTGGGTCTTTGTGGGCCTAGTGATCCTGGGGGCATTCCTGTTCTTCCTCCTGGTGGGGATCTGCTGGTGCCAGTGCTGCCCACACAGCTGCTGCTGTTACGTCCGCTGCCCCTGCTGTCCTGAGTCCTGCTGCTGTCCCCGGGCATGTGAGTGACCCTGCCCAAGCCTGGTGCAAATCTTCTGCTGTACTGCTTCTGCTCCCTGGCAGAACAGGAGGAGAATCTGCTAGTAATGCTTCCCTTGCCCTGAGCACATTGCTTGGCTAAAGAACTCGTTCTTAGGGAGTGAAGCATCTGACCTATTACTCAATGGTTGAGCGCTCAAAGTTAATTACAAATGTAATTCCCCGAGCCCTCCCTGCCTTGGCAGCTGTGTCTGCTTCTCCAAAGTGTCATGCTCCCATTCCAAAGTTGTTGTTGTGTCAGTGAATGTTGTGGGTCAGAGCTAAGAGCATTCTGGGAGGCTTCCTCCTGGCAATGCAAAGCAGCTGTGCTCTACAACAGTGCAAAATCCTTGCAACCCAGCAAGGTTCCTGGTCAGGCTCAGTCAGAGCTGTCAAGTTTCATGAGCCTCATCCCTGCTGCTTGGGTCATCAGTTGTTTTTAAAGCTGAACTGCCACTAAATCGTGGCAATGGTAGTGGTGGCTGTAACACTCTTGAGTGTCTTTCTGGGCATCTTGCAGTGCTTGTCCAACCTGCTGTGTGAATTTTTTAAACTCCCCTCAGTGCCCTTTGAGGCTTAGAGAAATTCAGGTTGGTCCTTTTTAAATTCATTTGTCCAGTTGTCTCCTACCGAGTTGTCACCAGTGTTGGTTACGTGCAGGTTTCGACCATGTGGGTCTCTTGGGGGCTGATGTGACACTGACTCTTGTTATTCTTCTTTTTCAGTGTATGTAGCAGGCAAAGCAGCAAAAGCTGGGTACCCTCCTCCAGTCTCTGCCATGCCAGGTCCATACTACATCCCCAGTGTTCCTGTAGCTGGTGTCCCATCTCCTGCTGTGCTGATGGATAAGTCGCACCCCCCTCCCTTAGCCCCAAGTGACGCCAGTGGTGGAAGCCAAAATGGTAATTTGCTGTGCCAGGCACAACATTCAGTCCCCTTTATTGGGAGCAGGTCTGGGAAAAGGAAGAATGATTGTCACTGGTCGAGTGGTGTGAACAGAAGAAACACAGAGAAACTGCATTTTAATCCTGTCTCTGACAATGACATTTGCATCCCTCAGGGCCACACGGTCCAGCTTTTCTAGTGCCATCAGCACAATGTCAGTTTGTGGATTCCCAGTTACATCAGCAGGGAATGGGAGGCCAAGTTCTTGTACAGGACCTCTCTCGTTACTGCCGCTCATATTTACTTCCAGAGGACAAAAGGATGATTTCAGGGAAACAGAGGCGGTGGCCATTTTCCCCTTAGAGCTGATGCCTTGCAAACTGCTTTCTCTTTGTAAACTCTTCTTTCTACTCTCTGCAAGGCACTGCTTGCCCTCTGGTAGCAGTTTTTGCTGCAGCATGTTTTGCTGTTCCCATGACCTTTTGGGCAAAGGAACCTACTCCCTTAGCATTTCTGCCCAAGAGCATTTGGGGCTGGACCCTGTCCTTTACCTTACGGAAGTCAGTAGGTCACTTTTTTCCTTCAGCCTTTGCATTTGTGCAATGTGAGAGATGAAAGGCTTCTAACTAGAAAGGAGTTTTGGATCAGTGTCAGACACAGACTGTCACTATGATGACTCTGTCTCGGTGAGGGTCACTTCTGCTGCCATCAAGGAAAAAGAGGGCAGCTCTTTAGCCACATGCATTTCAGGATCAGAGTGGCAGTCTAAAGTCAAACAAGCTGCTGCAGAAATGGCTTTTACCAGTGTAGAGTCGCCACTGATCCAGCTGCATGTCTGATTTCAAAGCACCACACTAATTATTAATTGTTCAATTTGCTTGTGACAGTGTGTTGATAAAACACATATGAAAAGACAAGATTAAGTAGCATAATCAAGTAATTAAGCTTTTGGAACAACTCTACATGTCCTTCTGCTGCCCCAGTCAGTATATTAACCTTTCTGGAATTACAAAAAGTATTTTCCCTCAACAATCATACTTTATTTTGCCACTGAAATCAAAACAGCTCTGGAATGGAGCGCTTTGAAGCAGGAAATAATCATTGATCCAAAGCAGAACGTATCTGATTCAAAAACCTTTGTCAGAAAATGATGAATGACATCCCAGTGCTTAATTTTTTTTCTCCTGTGAAAAATGTCACTGCATGTAGAGCGTGGTGGTGGCTGTGGGAACTCGGGAGATATTTTGAGAGTCAGATCACAGCCCCAGTCTTGTCTCTGCTAGCAGAGCACAAGTGCAGAATGAAAAGCTGTGGATGCATTTGATAACCAAACAGAACAGCTCTTAAATTTGCATGATCATTACACAGAAGGATGCATTTATTATATAATCCAAATCACATGTCTGGACTCAATCCCTCACCTCAGGACTCAGGACTTGAAATGAAATACTACATATTGCAAATAAAAACATTATCACAGAATTTTGACCTTTGTGGCAAGACAGCAGAGGTCCTTAATTTCTTTTTAAAAATAATTTTTAATTAATTTATTTTGCAAGAATGTGGATAAACCCTTAGTCTTGATCATGCACCTCAAACTGTGGAGCTAAGGAAGAGTTATGGCATGTATCCTGTTCCTTGTCCCTTAAAGTTCCTCCACAAAACCAGAATATCCCCTAATGACAGGCTGTGGAAGAGAAAACATTATGTGGCTTTTCCATGGTACTTATTTGCTGGTTGGCCAGACAGCAAGCTAAACAAAACGGGTAATGGTTGACTTTATTATAGTAAGGGCCTTTTCTCAGAAGGAGCAATAATCACGGTCTCTGTGTCCTCCACACAGCCAGTAGGTCTGACCTGAAACCTGTTATCTTTGAGACTTCAACCTTTCTGTCAAGTCCATTTAGAAAAATGGGATCAGAAGTGCTGGGGGACAGAGGCTGGAGCCTAAAAATTCTGAAAACTACAGCCTTTGCCCTAGATAGATTCTGTGCTTAAAAACAACCCCTTTGAGGGGATCTAGTGAGCAAACTCAGGCATGAGGATATTTAGAAAATTTGTCCAGGGTTACATTAAAGCCATATGACAAAGCTCTGATTAAGCCTAGGAACTCTGTCCTAAACTTAGGGCTGAATAAGGAAAAAAAATCCCAAAACTTTTAGCTCTCTTATTTAGAAGTGTTGGCAATACATAATTTAGAATTCGTGCTCTATTTTAAATCCAGTGGTTACCTGGAAACTCTTGCATATATCCCTTAAGCCCTGCACACAGGGAAGCTCTTGATCCTAGAGCTGGGCTCCAGACCTTTAACATTTAAAGTGTTTAAGGGTGAGGAGGCATCATTTATTTCCTAACTATACTTGCCTGAAAAAAAATAGTAATGCTGTCCTTTCTGGGGAGGGCAACAGCTTACAGTTTTGGCTGACTTGGTTCCACCCACGGAAGAATAAAAATTATGTCTAGTTAAACACAATTTAAACATTAGAAATCTATGAACTGTTCAGGAGAAGAAAATATGGTCTAACAGGGAAGAATGTTCTATTCTCTTTGACTTCAGTGAATGGTTCTGGACATGTGGTCCACATCTCTGCATCTTTATTTCCTTATAATTAAGATGGGCCTAAAATTTTTCAGATCTGATTAAAAGCATATGGCAATTACAGATGAAGAAGGGCTTGAGGAGGAAGCAGTAATATCTTTGGTTCTCAGATGAAGGAATAGTGAAGAGCTTTAATAAGTTGAACATTTAATATCATTATGAGAAGTTTTTAATAAATAGAGAGACAAAAAATGCTTCATTGGTAATGGAAAATACTTTTTATGAGCAGTTCACAGTCGTCTTTGCAGATTTAAATCCAAAATTAATTTCTAGATGCTTGCAGAATTAACCAAGAAATTCATTTGTCTTTTGATACACAGATGCAATAGCAAGTCAAGCATGAAGCCTAGCTAATTCTCCATCAGTTCCAGGAGGTATAGATGTTGCCCAAATAGATATTTGGCACAGCTTCAGTGGTTCCGGAGAGACAGTCTGGAAGCTGCCTGTTCAAGTTCCCCAAAGGTTATTAGTAGGTCAGTCATTTCCAGCTGATGGTTGTTTGCTGGCCTATGTATAAATGAGGTGGCAGCTTAGCTGGGCTCCTAGTAGAGACATCAGAAGAAAGAATAGTGAGAGGCCTCTTTCCTGGCAAGGTACCAGCCGTGATGGTGAGGTGCAGAATTGGCCTTGCTGCTCTTGCAGTGCAGCAGGAGCCATGTCTTCTGAGGCCACTCAGTCCAGCCCCTCTTTGTAGCAGCAACCTCATTTAAAGAGACGTGTTGTGCTGCTCATTTTGGAAGGCAGAGACAAGGTCCTTCACAGGGGTCTGTAGATCACTGTGTGCATTTTGCAGCCATTGTGCACACACTCATGGGGATAATAAAAACACAGCAGAACTCCAGACTGCAGTCAGTTAAGCTACCTGGAGCCACGCTAAAAGAAGGACCCTGATAGACCCATACTATGTTTTTACATCTAATACTTTTCCCAAGTGCAGCCACACAAGGTCATATTTCAGGATGTAGTCTCTTAATTTACATGTACACAGTGAAAACCCACAATGAAGCACTTTGCTCCTGAAGCAACTTGTGGGATTCTGATAGGGACCATTCTACCCATTTCTATGGCACAGCCATTCCTGAAGCAGAGCATGGTTATTTCACAGTGCACAGACACAGGCACAGCTGTGTAGGACAGAAGGTGCCTAAGAATACCTCTGCCAAGTCCTTTCTCAGCCCACACAGTGCATCGTATGCAACGTACTACCAAACCCATATGTTAGTAGCTCGATATATTGCAGTGAGGGATAAAACAGAAGGAACAGGTTGGCTCAAAACCACTCTCCAAGTGTTTAAATTGTTTCACAAGAGGAGCACTCATGCACCACTGCAGTATTCACACAAGGGAATGTATTAACCCCATGCAAGGCAGTGTCGTGGGTTTGCTCTGGCCTAATTTGCTCTTACACCCCCCACACAATTACTGTAAGTTGAGAGAAGGTTTATGCAGACAAAAGAGACCCGATTTGGGAAAATAATATTAGGATTTATTACTAGCAAGATAAAATCTAAGGAACTATATCTACAACAATATTAATTAGGTAAAAGTACTATGTATCTACAAAAATACCCCTCCCCCCTTTGTATCAGTCCAGGAGGAGAAGCAGTCTCTTTCTCTCTTTCCAGAGCTCCAGGTCTTTATAATAATTTTGCAGCACTTTTAAGTTCTTCTTCTGTTATCTCTAGAACGACAACTCCGATTCGTTGCAGCTGGAACTCTTTCTCTCTCTCTTTTACGTCAGCCTCAGTGCTGGGCCTACCCCCTCCTGGGCTAAGACCGGAGCCTGGGGGGTTACGCAGGCCCTGTAGGGTCTTCCATGGACTGCAAGGGGATACTTACCTACCATGGATCTTCACCACAGAGTCACATGGGATAATGGCTTTTGAGTCCACCCCTGTTTCCTGTGGGGTCCCTTCCCATGGGAGAACAGTCTTTAATAGACTTCTCCTCTGACGTGAGTCCATCTCTCAGACAACAGGTCTTCCATTCTGTGATGTCTCTCAGGGTCACAAATTTAGCTGCAGCATGGATCCCTCACTCAGATGCCAACATCTTACCCGAGCCGATCTGCTCCAGTGTAAGTCTCTCTCCATGAGCTTCCTTGTGCATTCACAAGCTCCTTTATGAGCTGCATGGGGGTCTCTTCACCCCAATAATCTTCCACAGGTGGCAGGGATTTATTTTTCAGTCTTTTCCCTGCTGAAGGGAGAGAGAGAGAGAGCAAGAGACGGGGAAGAAGCAGCTCCTCCCCCCTTCGAACTTCTCTCTCCTGCTGCTGCCAGTTTAGACCTTGGAGGTTGTTATCTCTCTGCTAGAATTCCTTCTGCAGCATTTCTCATCCAAGCAGTCAGTCCTTCTTTAAAGTTTTTTTTTTTCTCTACTCTTACAGGACAGAAGGGGGGCTTCAGTGCCACACCTGGCCCCAGGGCCGGGGGAGGACAGGGGCCTTGGCCCACTTGGGACCTGCCGCCTCTCCTACATAGCCAAAATTTTATCTGTGGCACAAGCTTCTCTTCTGTTTTCTTAAATTTGTAATTGGCAGAGGTGTTACTAAAACTTTTGATTGGCTTTTTCTCTGGAAATCCACCTGGACAAAACCATCCTCAGCCCCAGGGATTGGCTGGTGGGCAAAACCACGACAGGCAGACAGGTTCTATTTTGCAGTGCTAAGTGAATTGTCTTTATCACGGTTCTATAATGAGGCTGAATTTGAGGGTTGTAGTCCTCTTTTGTACCTAGATCTGAGTTTGTGTCAGTCCTGAAATAGCCCCAGGCTGAGACCTTCCTTAAATACTCTGCTATAAATGCCTTGTTTTCTTCAAAACCCTGACAGGTAGAGTTCTCTGCTTGCTGACTTGAGGTAGTCAGGCTGTTCACAGCTGTTGTTAGCAGGTAAGGTGTGCATGGACCCAGCCTCCCAGAGTTAGAGTTGCTGTGGTTCCAGGCATGTAGGGGCTTCTTTTCTGCACATAAGAATGTGGAAAACACAAAAAATGCTGTCCAGACTTCCCGTGTAAATGGCATAATCCCAGGAGTCAAGCACTTAATGTATGTGTAAGACGTACCTTTTCTGTAAAGTGAAGCAGGTTAAGAATGCCAGAGCAGGCAGTTTCACAGCTACCAGTGACCTGATTGGCCTCATCATGGGATTGGGTATAAATCTCAAAGCAGTGTGATGTGCTTTGTGGGATTTGGTGTTTCCTGCTGTATTCTCTAGAGCTTCTGCTGCCACAGGCTCTTTAACCTCTGTGAGCAGAATTCATGGTGCTGGGAGGGTGGAATGGTCCTGCAGAGTGACAGCTCCCAAATGCTCCGCCACCTGCTGCTCCTGCAGACTGGGAGCCTACAGCCCCTGCTGCTTAGAGGAAGCCTGGTTTTCTGGGACTGCTTCTCCCGTACCATGACAAATCCTCTCTGTAGTGCTGAGGAAGGAGAAAGGAGTTCTTCTTTTCTCCCTACCAGTCGCTCTGTGGCAGTGACACCACTTGATGCATCTGGCTGTACAAATTGGGCATTTCCAAAACCGTTTTTGCTGTTACTGCAAACTTTCGGAATGATGCAACTGCTACAACTTCACATCCCACATTTTAGACGAATTTCTTCTGAAGCAGCGACTGACTCAGTCTGTTTTGACGCAGCCTACCTGCCTGCAGACATGAGCTCGACTATAGAAGCAATATTGCTGGAAAGTCTCGTTCTTAAATTGTTTCAAAGTCTTCAATGTGTGTTTCCCTCCTGTGCTTTTTTTCTTTCTCCCTAGCAGTGCGCAAAGGGTACAGAATCCAGACTGACAAGGACAGGGACTCCATGAAGGTGCTGTACTATGTCGAAAAGAACTGGCTCAATTTGACCCAGCCAGGAGGATGCGAGAACGATGTAAGAAACAAGCATGGTTTCATTTTTTTTCTTCCCATTGACTGGAAAAAGACTGCAAATTCATAGTTCAAAGTTGGCTGGCTTTGCCTCAAGGTCAACCTTTTAGGATATGATGTCCAGGATACAGTAAACAGGGTAGATAAAGCCTAGATTTTAGATGTCTGCAGGTTCTGATTTTAAAGATCTGGTGCTTACCTAATCCTTCTTAATTAGAGCAGACAAAGTGACGGATACTGAAAAGCTTGTGAAAATTGTGCACTCAGATAGTTAAACTTTTGGATCATCAGCACCTTATTGTACTTACACATTCTACAGCCTGTGGTGTGATAATAGCTGGGATATTGTTTTCACAGTTTCTATACATTTTACAGTGTGGTGTCTGTAAATTACCAGCGTGGCAAAATAGGAGAGGGATGGTTTTATTGAAAGAAGTTTTGTGGGCTGCAGTGAACATGGTGTGGTTTGAAGGATGCAGAAGGTTTGTTTGGAGTTGCTCTTGTCCTGCAGAAGGAGTAAGGACTACAACAAACATTCAAGAAGCCAGGGGATCGTCAGGTTTTGTGACACTGAGCTAACCTATGTTAGGCACTGGTAGAGACGCATTTAAAAAAGACATGTGGGATGCTGCAAATCAATGAAGGTAAGGGAATGGGAATGACACTACATCAAAGCTCTGTACAGATTAGGCATAGCGAACAAATTATATATTCTTCTTAAACAGTCACTGCTGAGCACACTGTCTTCTCCACCCACAAAATTTACTATAAAAAGACCTCTGCAGATTGGTATGTCAGGCCTCCAGATGTCAGTGCGCTTGATGGGGTAGAGACTGACAGTGACTCAGAGAGTCTTAATCCTTTTTTGTGGGGGTTGCTTTTGTTTTAGATGGGCAAGTCAGGGCAAATCCAGAGCCAGCCTGTCTCTCACCAGGAAAGGGGGAGGTGGCACAACTGCTGTGCTGTGATGATGTACCACCATGCTCAGTGCCCACCTCCCAAGGTAGGGAGCTCACATGTGTTACTGAAGCAGGGCTGAGGGGAATTTTTGGGACACAGGAACCTCATGCCATTTATGATAACTTTAAAATACCCCACTGACTGCCAGCTACAAATTCAAAGACCTTTAAGTCTAACAGTAGCTCTTGTGTCCAGACAGAGCTCCAGCAGTGCTGGGCAGGGTTTTTCAAGGGTGTGAAGGCCTCTGATTCCATTTTGGTTGTTTTCTAACAGAGGGCAGCTCAGTTTTTCTGCTGAGAAAGCCACAGCTGGGTACACCACAGCCTGTCCTCTCCTGCCCTCTCACACATGCTGTCAGGTGACGATGCCCATCTCATTTCTTTTCTGCAGATAACAACACCATGTCTGAGCTCAGCTCGTTGCACGAAGAGGACCTGAACTTCCGCCAGCCCTACCGCCAGTCGCGGAGGAAACCCCTGCCTCCCGCGGGGGACATGGATGGGGACGCGGAATACTGGGCGGGAGTCATTGGTGGGGGCAGCACTCAGTCCAGGTCTCAGGCTGTCTCTGATTACAGAGATGAGCGGGACAGTTTCTGGCACAGGTGAGGAATCACCATGTTGGGAGGCAGCTATATCTGGCAGAGAAGGGACAGATGGACTGATAGCTCTTCTCCATTTCCTGCTGCTCTGGTTCTGCTTAGTGGGAGAGGGGTTAGACAGATATAGGAAATCTGGACATGTCGTTAGATGAGGTCAGAATGAATCTGATTCCCACATGCCTGCTGAAGCCTACCCAGCTGGGTAAGGCTTAGTACCAGCCCCATTCCCAGTAATATATAAAAGTGAGATTAATAGGGAACCAAGCCACCCTTCCCAAAGTGGGAAGGCACAGTTACAAATCTGTCTCCTGAGATTTGCACCTGATACTTCCAGCACTTCTCAGTACTGGTTCACTTTATTCAGAGTTGCACCCTGGTGCTTTGGTGCAGCAAGACCTGTACTCCAGACCTAAAGGACTGGCACTCTGGTACCTGGAAAGAGATGGCACATCATTCCCGCACATACCAACAGCCCAGTCTCCCAAAAGCAATGGCAGGGATTTCCTTCCTTCAGTACTGTGCTATTTTGCCAGTTCACTGCTTTAAAATTGCCCTACTGTGAGCTTCTGTAGCTGGGTTCTTGGGTTTCCTCAGCACAACATACACCTACAGGCTCTGGGGCCAAGGAGAAGCAAGTCCAGCCCTGCACGCTGTAGGTCAAGGGAGGTGCACTCTGGGGTTAATCTCGGGTAACCTTAGACATGCAGAGCCAGAGTTGTCTGCTCTGAGTTACCTTTACAGTCAGCAGAGAAAACCGGGGGTCTCAAGGATGTGACACATCTCTTCCTACGGAAGATGATGAAAACAGTCCAGATGATTCATGCCCCCAGGAGTTCCTGTTTCCCTCCATTGTCTATGCGGGCAGTCTGAGGGGATGAGTACAGCTGGATCCTGCCCTCTAACCCTACCTCTTCCCTCCTCCAGCCAGCAGAGATCCAAGTCTGAGATGCTGTCCCGTAAGAGTTTCTCTGTGGGAGTGCCAGCTGTGTCCATGGACGAGCTGGCAGCCTTTGCAGAGTCCTACAGCCAGCGGCCCCGGCGGGCAGACAGCCAGGAGACGCGGCGCTTCGAGCGGTCGGAGTCGCACAGCGGCCGCAGCGGGGGGCTGCCCCACCAGGACAGCTCCATGGAGGAATACTACTCCAAGCGCAGCAGAGGGAATCGGGAGCCACTGACGGACTCGGATCGGGGCTGGTCGTACAGCCCACCCCGGAGACGGGCCCATGAGGAGAAGCACCTTCCCAGGCTGGTGAGCCGGACGCCCGGAGGGAGCCAGAAATACGACCACTCCTACCTCAGCAGCGTCTTGGAGAGGAAATCCCGGAGCTACGACGAGAGTGGTGACCATTGCGCCACCCCCTCGAAGCTGAGCTCGCAGCCCAGCCAGAGAGGAGGGGGAACATACTATGCCTGGTCACCACCCTCCACCTACAAAGCCGAGAAGTCGCAGCAGCAGCCGCAGCAGTCGCTGTCGTCTCAAGAGGAGGATGAGGAGGAGGACAGCCTGCCTCCCTACAGCGAGAGGGAGCTGAGCCGGGGCCCCTCGTACAGGGCCAGGGAACAGGCCTACCTCAATACCTCTGACAAGAAGAGGAAAAAGGACCCCAAGAAAACAGTGAGGCCATATCTGGTGGTCCTGGTCCAAATAGGCTGAGCGGAGAGCCATCAGGCAGGGGTTACTAACCAGGGTTGATGGGCAAGGGGGTTTTCCAGGAGGGGGTCTTGGGGTCTCAGTGTGACTGCCCATGGGAAGGGGGAAGTCACTGTGGGTGTAGGAGGCCAGAATGGGAAATAGCTCCTATGTGGGAGTTCATAATGGAGGGGAAAGCCAGATGTGCCTGGGACTAGGGAGCTAAGGGATGTTCTTTGGCATCTGTAGCCTGCTGGTCCAAGACGGTGGGAGTTTATCTGGAGTTTAGAAGGATCACAGTAGGGAAGTCACCCGGGGCTTACAGAAATTACAGGGCTTTGGCATTGATCCTTGTTAAGGAAGGGTTGAGAGGCTCTTTTCTTCAGACTAGGAGAGGACTGGTAGCAAGGTATGGTGTAAGAGACGTCTTTCTGAAAGGGGTGAGATGACTGTTGACCTACTCTTGTGGGCTTGTGGAGGGCCATCTATGCCAAAGGCATTCCTCACCCAGGCTACCAGCAAATGCAAAACATCCTGACACAGTCCCAGCTAGTGAGGACTGATGGGTTCATGGTTGGTAGGAATGGGAATCTGGCTGAAGTCTGCTCCTTGAGGGAGACCTTGTCGCTAGAGCAGCTAGGCTGTTAGGCCTGAGCTTAAGCAGCATATGTGAGAGAGGAATGGGTTGTGAGTGGACAAAGGTGTTGCTGTTTTGTTGTGTCTCTGTCAAAGCTTTGTCTGTCTCTTTGTTCCATGGATGCTTTCCTGTTGACTTAAATCTTCCACTGACTTCAGTCTTCTCTCTCTCTTCTCAGAATGATTTCCCAACAAGGATGTCCCTTGTGGTTTGAAGTTGTGGACATCTCATATTGATGGGCTGGATATCACAAGGTGACTGCAGCGGAGAAGATACAGAGCAACCAGCAAGACTCTGTGACCCTTTGCAGCCATCAGCCATGGACTGTTTCAGTTGTTTGGTTCATCAGGGGAGCAGAACCTTTTGTAAGAGACGGCCATGAACAGCACTCGGTCCCAGAGGCTCTGGGAATCTGCCAGGAAAATGAGGCCAGTGCTTTCTTTTTTTCCAGTTTTCCAGTGCCCTCCATTCTGCACTGGAAGGCAGCCACCTCCCTACTGTCCCTGAAGCCCTCCCTGCAGTCCTGAACTACAAGTGGGGATGCCTTTGTACCTCCTGCCCTGTCTCATGTGCAGAGGGAGGCCTGTGCATACCTCTTGCTCTCTGCCTCCTCAGTTCTCTGGATCAAAATTGTCATCCATACTTAGAGCCTTTTCTGTGTCATCCCCATGCTGGGACGAGGCCTTGTTCTTACAGCTGCAGACTGCCTCCAGCTGATCGGGCCCTAAATGGGAAAGAAAATTCACATCCTTTCAGACACTGTAAGAAAAGGACTGATGAAGTGTTAACTTTGATAAGGGCTGAATAGAAAAAGACAATTATGATGCTGGTTTGTTCAATATTTAGTTTTCATTGTGTGATGAGAGTTTCAGGTGAGATTGATGTATTGTTTTGAAAGTGGGTCAAATTAGCTTTTGTTATGATGAAAGCATGATGTGTTTCCCCCCTATCCACAACTGCGTTTCGTTTTGATGCAGTTGCATTTCCTTGCAGCTGAGCTATGACCCTGTAGAGCTTCAGGCTAGAGTACCTACTCCACTGTACCATAAGCAGTGCTCTAGCCTCGCTGGCGCTCTGCTTCCAGCACCACCAGACATCCCTGCATAATAAGTGGCCTTTTTCTTTTAAAGAAGCAAAAAGGGGACAGTCTCAGTGAGAAGGCAGCTGCAGACCTTCATTCCGTGCTACTGGTATCTCTCCATTCTGGGAATTGTTTCCAGACATTGAGGACAGCAGTAACAGCTGTGGAAAAAGAATTAAGCTCTGTGGATGGACACAAGCTTTGAAAGTCACCCTTTTTGCTTACAACCATTTCATTCTCCTTGATTGGGATGTTGGCTGTTGTCTCAGGAATAGTTGAATTTAGAAGTGAGTGATTCACACCATTTGGAAGCCTGACATTCTTTTTTTTCATAATGTATTATGCAGTCATTTATTTAGCTGCTAAAATCATCATGTGAAGGAAGATGATGGGAACATTTCAAGGGCCAGTATCTTGCCCCCTATTATGCCTAGAAACAAGTTGGTGCCCTATTGTGTTATGGACATTGTCAGCCTCTGAAATTACATCTTTGTTGTTGCTCTGGGAATTTGGGAACCTATCTGGTCTCAGGTGCTGATACTGGTAGTACTGTTCTGAACACAAGGTGTATTAACATCACTGCAGTTCTCCATAAAAAATGATAGATTAATTTCTGTATTACTCCTTTGCCAGGTCAGTTCACCCACCAGGAATGGTCAGGGGAGAGGAAGAGTAATCTCCATAGATCTGATGAGAGCGCAGTTTTCATGTGAGAAGGTGAATGGGTAAAAGGATGGCTTTCTTCTCCCACATTCCTCTGTAGTTTTGGAAATCATAGTCCTGGGTCTTCCTGGCAGAGAAGGATTAGCCTGCAGGGACATACAATCATGGAATCACAGAATTGTTTGTGCAGGAAGTAGCTGTTAAAGAACATCTGGTTCCAACTCTCTGCCATAGGCAGGGACATCTTCCACTGTATCAGGTTGCTCAAAGCCCTGTCCAACTGGACCTTGAACACTTCCAGTGATGGGACATCTGCAGTTTCTCTGGGCAGCCTGTTCCAGTACCTCACCACCCTAATAGTAAAGAATTTCTCCCTTGTATCTACTCTAAAATTACCCTCTTTTAGTTGAAAATCAGTGCCTCCTCCCTATTGAGGGTAAAAAGTCAAGGTAGATGGCATGAGGTGCACTTTCCTTATCCCTCGGTACAGTCACTCAATCACAGAAGACCTCCAAGTGAGCAGGCATGATTTGCTCTTGGTGAAGTCATGCTGGCTGTCTCTAATCACTTCCCTGCCATCCATATGCCTTGACATAGGTTCCAGGAGGATCTGTTCCATGATCCTAGAGGTGATGCTGAGTGATCAAGATTTCGTAGGGTCCTCTTTTTTACCCCTCTAAAACATGGGTGTGATGTTTCCCTTTTACCAGCCACAGGGAACCTGACTACCATGACTTTTCAAATAGGGAGAGCAGCTTACCAACTACATTTGCCAGCTACATGCCAACTACATCAGCTTGTATTGTGGTTGGAGAGACTAAATGTTAAGTATTTTCATCTCTTCTCATCACTGATGTGTCTTCCTAGGGAAATCCCAGTACAGGTAATAAGAAGTAGGTAGGTGGCTGCCACCCGAGACCTCTGGGGCCTTGAGGAGTCTACAGAGCCACACTTTGTGCTGTTTTAAATTAACATTTCATCCCTGACATATGACGGTACTGGCACGTTGATGTTTTGTTAGTCTGAAAACCTTGGGAACCCTTATGCCATGAATTTTAAGGGAGATTAGCCTGCTATCCTTTCCATCAGACATCCAGAAGATCAGTTTACATAGAAATTTGAAAGGCATCTGCAACAATGACTATGTCAGAAAGGGGCCAAAACTGATTTTACAGTCTCTGAATACCTCTATCTTTTAAATCACACTGAAAGCCGGAGCGTCACAATCTCTTTTTCATTTCCGTTATGTTCTGTCCCTTATCCCAGTCACTGCAGTTTATTTGATCAAGCCCTCAGGAATAAGTTGTGTGTATTAAAAATACAAGCCTTCCCCTCATTTATTTGAGTTGGTTTTGTTTGCTCAGTGCTTGTACTTTAGGGGCACCTGTACACTGTGTGTAAGAAGTTGCCATTTGTATATCTAGCTTATAAATAAGTAGTTGCAAACTAATTCTCTTAAAACTGTTTTAATTATAGAAGAAACTGTAAGAACCCCTCCCCCATTTCTTCAATCCACGTAGCTGGAAAACAATTGAAGATTTTACTACTAGTGATTGTAAAAGTTTTACCAGATGATAAGAATTTCAGCCTTAAAAAAAAAAAAAAAAAGAGCAGGTCTTAATTCCCTGAAGTCAAATCTGGGCAGCACCTTGCTCTAAAATTTAAGATTTCACATGTCCCTGTACAGATCTGAAAGGCATTTTCATTATTTCCATTTACTGATAGTGTCTGTCCTCAGGCCATCTTTCTTTTTCCCATTAGAAATGTGTCTGCAGCAGCAGCAGGAGCAAATGGACCAAATCAAGAAGCGAGGGGTGATGTAGAGTGTTTTACAGCTACACAACCCTAATGACCCGTGACTCCTGAATGGGGGAGCAGGGGGCCAGAGGCTGCTGGAGAGCCAAAGAGGAGCTTCCTGTTTCAGGAGAGAAGCAATGGTTTGTGTCTGCATCATCTTCCAGAACACCTGCAGAATGCTGGCACTGGAAGATAACAAGCCTGGTTATTATGTGGTCTCCAATCATTATAAGTTTTCCAGTTATCAATTTTTATTGCTGGCATAAAATTAAAATCCTTTTCATACCAGATATGGATGTCTGGGTCATGTGAAGGACACGGGTAGTTTTGTGATCTTGAAATCACAACAACCAACAGCATCTCACTAAGACAACCGAGATGATGAATGAATTCTTTAAAAATAAAAGAACCCTTAGAACAACAGCAGGATCAAGCATCAGTGGTAGATTTGGCTGCCAAAAAAAGTGATCTTGGCTAGTGAAAAAAAGTTTTGACATAATGGAATGGGAAAATAAACAGCAGTGATAATGACTTCTCATCAATCCCATTATTCCTTTAGAGCACATTGTAAAAGTTCCACTGGGTGGCTTCAGTGTGAATATCCTCAGAACACTCCATTTCCACTGAGATGGAAAATTAACAAAACTAGCACTTTGAATATTTTAAATTTCTGAGAAACTCCAACATTTATAACCTGAAACAGCCAGGCAGAATGATTCAGTTCTTTGTGCTGGCATGTAATACAGGGCACTGGTGGTCATCTCTGCCTTTGTTCCTGCAGTCAGGTCAGAGAGGGCCATCAGCACTGTCCCCCAGGCTCACCTCTCCTCCCCTGCAGCCAACACTGGCAGCTGTGTCTGCTGAGTTTCCCTGTGGGGTCCCAGCTCCTGCTCAGATGTCCCGGTCCTTCCACAGCTCACTGAATTGTGGTTTTCATTCTGGCTTGTGACTTTGGGTCCCTGCTGGCCAAGGACTGCAGTTACAGTGCCTTTCTGTCCTCTTCCAGGTGGGCAGCACCAGTTAACCTGCAACGTAAGACATTTTTGGTTTTGCAGTCAACCACTTTTACACTCCAGTCCTCTTCAGGTTTACCTTAAACTGGCCAGATAAATTAGTGTGTAAAGCAAGTATTGGGCACTGTAAGATGGAAGTGGCCCTTTGCAGGGAAGAGAGAAGACGTTTCAGAGTATTTTCTCTGGGGAGCGTCAGGAGGGTTAACCACACATGGATGCCACTGCTGGGCTGGTACCAGATTCCTCCAATAACAGTGATCTGACATTGCACAGAAGAGCTTTCCTTGGTCAGGTTGCTCCTACAGGTCTGGGTTGTTTTGAGCAAATTGACTGGGAACTCTCCATACTTTGGAAGAGGATTCTTGTCTCTTTGAGTCCCAAGGTTCCTCACAAAGCTGCTTCTCTTGAGATACAGGACAGCCACTGGGCTGTACAAATATAGATCCATGAGAAGGAACAATCACAAAGTATTTCAGAAGTCAGATCTTGCCACAAAGTGTTACAGGTACATAAACACAGCACCACAGTGTTTAGCATGCCTGGGCTATTCTGAAAATAGTTTTAATGATGCGGAAATTGTTGAGAAACCACATGGAGCTGTCTTCCTTTTTCTCCAGGAAGCTTCCACACAAAGATGTGGGTGAGGACCTGTTCTTTGTCACTAAGTACAGGTTTTAGGATGTGAGGAAATAAAAGCTAAAGGGACTTTAGCTCATTTTTTGTCTGGATCGAGCAGCAAGGTTACCTTTGGCATAAGCCAGATGCTGCATATTTGACCCTATGATTCCCAAAATCTCTGTGGTGCAGCATCTCCATTGGGCTCCACTGGCTGTATGTGCCTTCTGCAACAGTTATGATGTTGAAACCACCTTCATCATCACCTGGGGCTCCTAAAGTCCCTTTCTCATGTCTTGGAAGATCAGGAAAGGGATCCATTATGTGATATGACAGAACAGGTATCATTTTGATATGATGTCAGAAATGCCAGCTGGATTGCCAGCGTTAGAAGCAGAAAAAATCTAAAGAATAAATTTGGCTAATACTAAAGGAAGGAACCCGCCACAATTCCCATATGAATTCTTTTGTGACCTTTATAATTGCTTTTCGACATTCCCCCCTGCCTGCGCGGGGACCTTTGCCAGGGAGCCCATCACCTCCTCTCCCTTTTGCCTGTAATTTTTTGTCATGCTTGTAGTGCCTCTGTGACCCCTCTGCTTTCCTTTGGCTGTTTCCAGTCAACGTTCAGCGTTGTGCCTCGGGGTCCGGACCAGTTTAGATGTAGAACGAGTGGCATTTTGTAAAATGACATTTTTACCCCCTATAAAAGCAAAAATTTACAGAACACCCACAACAAACCCCCAAACCCTCCAGATATTCTCTCAAGCCCAAGCAGGAATGTTACTGGAAACATTTTAAAAATTAAAGCTGAACATAATTTCAAGAAGAGTAAGGATTGTTTTCAGCCCCAGGGCAGCTACAGTCAGAGCTGTGAAGTGCAAACAGCAGGAGCAAATGCACTCAGGTTTCATTGTCCTTGGTGAGAACAGCGGCAGAGAGAAGCAGCAAGTAATGAGTCGGAAGGCAAGTGGAGTTCCAAGATGTTCTTAGGTACGTGTGAGTTAGAAGTGTGAACTAAAAGTCGACAGGCTCAGTTTAAAAGCAAAATTCAGTCCAAGGAAATTTGAGCCCCAGCTCAGAGGTACTGTTCTCTTGCTGTTTACCAACAAGCTGGGTTTTTTCCCTGCTGCTGTTGCTGCCTGCCACAGCCATTTCCCAGCCATCACACAGTGAGTGGCTTTCTTTGCTGTACTTGGCTGTCATTATTTTACTTAGATTGTCCTTCTCCCCTGTAATGAACTTATTTTCAGTATGAGGGGAAGAAGGACATAACAATACTCTATAATGAAAATGTAACAGTTTTATATCTTCTTGAGACACATCCTCATCCCCAATTACCAAGCATTATACATTTGCCATGCTTACAGTATCAAAGTTGTTGTCTTTGAGTTGTCACCATGGAGAATAAAAGCAGGAAAAGCTACCACCAATCTGCCTTTTTATTATCCTGCAGACGAACAATTTTCTCACTTTATGCTAAAAAATGAGCAGTTTACACGAGTGGTTTTCGACCCATTTTTTGTTTAAAGGACAATAAACCAAACATTTTCAAATGGAGCAGGAGACCCTTCATAAGTTGCATACCATTCACAGGATAACATAAACTAACCCTTTTTCCTCAGCCTCCTTTCATACAAGAAATCCCTGCAAGTACCCTGTGGAGCCACAGTACTTCACAGAAAGGACAAACTCTCCCCTGGTTTTGCAGACTTAAAAACTTTTTCTCTGTGGATTTTATTGGGAAACATTTACCTTTTTCCTGTAGAAACTCCATGTGCTTTTGGTAGTATGACCTCTTTGTCCTGGAGCCTGCAGTACCCTGGACTGATGGTTTTTGTCTCTCATAAACAAGCAACTTCATTCAGATCCCATCTCCATGTTATCAATAATGGATTCAGACTCACACTGTTTGTAGGTGTAATCTGAACAGCATTTACATGTTTAGATCCATGTCTGAGAGGTGTTACCAGCACTCAGGTGAGGAGAAGTGCACACAGCTCTGGTCTGTATTTCCCTGTGCAAGGGAAATCCCTTGGCTCTTCAGTTTCCTGGCTGTGGAAAGGGAAGCTATCCAGGGACACCTGTTTCCTAGGACAATGCCAGTCAAGCTGAGCAAGCTCAGGCCCTCTCTGGATGCCTCTCTCAAATCGTAGAATAGTTTGTGTAAAAAGGGATCTTTAAAGGTCATCTAATCCAATCCCTGTGCAATTAGCAGGGGCACCTTCAACTAGATCAGGTTGCTCAGAGCCCCACCCAGCCTGACCTTAAATGTTTTCAGGGAATGGGCATCCACCACCTCTCTGGGCAGCCTGTGCCAGTATTTCTCCACACACATTATAAAAAATGTTCCTTATATCTAATCTGAATCAACCTTTCTTCAGTTTATACCATTACTTCTTGCCATATCACAGAGGCCCTGCTAAAAAGATTGTCCCCATCTTTCTTTAGGCCCCCTTCAAATACTGGAAGGCTGCAATGAGGTCTCCCCAGAGCCTTCTCTCTTTTGGTCTAACAGCCCCAACTCTCTCAGCCCATCTTCATAGGAGACATGATCAGCCCTCTGATTATCTTTGTCTCCTCCTCTGGACTCATTCCAGCAGATCCAGATCCTTATTTTGGGGGCCCAGAGCTGGCTACCCAGCCATGTTTTGGCTGCTCCTGGGGGTGGGTGAAGGGAGCTCCTGTCGAGGCGGTGGGAGGCAGAGGCCTGGCAAGAGGCTGATGCAGTGGGGGGGGGGGTGGTGTTAAAGGCTTCTAAGCTTAACACTTGTCTCTGAAAATTGTCACTCATCCTTTATTTGACCCAATGTGAACGTGTTCAGAGTTTCTTTGGCCAGCTTTATTCCTCCTCCGTCCCTCAATGCTCGCCCCCTGCTCCCACAGAAACCTCCAACATGGAGCAGGAAAGTTGCCCATCTATACCTTGAAGACTAATGGGAGTGAGGAAGACCTGACAACAGAAGCACTGAGAGGTCACCCAGCACAGAGCTCTGTGGGAGGTCACTTCTGTCTGGGGAAGTGTTTGTGCCAGCAAGGCAGAAGCCAGAGATGCCCCTGCAGCTCCCTCTGTAAACTCATGGCTAACCCTCACACAGGTAAGGCTCTTCTGTGCCAAGACACAGCTGGTCCAGAGCTCTTGGCTGTAGACAGGTTTGTATTTCAGGTTTTGATTTCAGGGCCATTTCAGAATTAGAGAAATGAGCCTGAAAAAATTGCCTAAAGTGGCACAGGACCATTTATTACAGCAGGTGTGGTGTTTTCATTTAGTCCTCACTGTGTGACAGAAATCCTTTCTGTTTACATCTCAAATTGGTTTCCATCAGCCTCTCCAGAGCAGGTGTGGGTGATTTTCATGTCCCAGTTATCACATCTTCTCTTTGAGCAACACATCATTCAGTGCACTTGTCTCTGAATAGGTACTCCAGGGTAGTGAGAGGCAGAGCTCCAAGTGGTCACATTTTGCACTCAAGAGCCTGCTAAATGATTAATTAATTTAGTCTCTTAAAGTTCCCTGCTTCCTGGCAAAGCCACAGTGTGTGTTGCTACAGGCCTCAGTCCTGCTCACCTCAGAATCACAAGTTTTGGCAAGGGGCTTTGACATCCAGTAAAGTGGAGATCAGTGCATGCAGAGAGGATGTGTGGGGCTGGTACCTAGAATATTTTTCTTTAGACCTCAGAGTCCAAGCTCCTTGAGGTGGAACCATTAGCATAGCCAAGTGCTTGGGATTCCTGAAAAAGTACAAACTACTCAAATTAGTAAAACCACAGTGCAGGTGCATCCCAGTGCAGCTGATTTACAGAGACTGCAGTGTGCAATCCTGGCAGTCAGAACCACCTGATGCTACTTGGAACCTACATCTTTGCAGAACTGAGCTGCCAAGACTTGGAGAGCACTCGGTCTTATGCATAAATAGGCCTTCACCTGATGGACAGTGACAGAACTTGTGTGGGTAGTGAGCTCTGAGCCTAAGGTATGTTTTAATTAGTACTGGGGGAGTGAAATGGTGAAATGTGTTTGGGGGTTTTTTGTTAATTTTAAAACTTTCTTTTTTCCTTTAAATAGAAATATGTTTTCATATTTATATAAATTTTTGTCCTTGCTTCTCAGAAGAAAGATCCGGGGCTGCCTTCTCTCAAGTCAGTATGGTGCCTGAGTGCAAAATTTTACTCTCCAGTTCCAGTAAAATGCAGCCTAGGCTGGTTCTTGTGAATAGTTGTAAAGGGAAAGCTTCTGCAGCAGAGCTCTGTCATCAAGATGTCACCATGGACAGTCTGTCATCACGACGAGAAACACTTCTTAATTAAGCAGAGATGCTGAATTGTAGCTGAAACAATTCCTAAGTGTCCCAACTTCCCTCATCACATCAAGGAGCCTGGAGTTAAAAAGCTCCCAACAACAAGGGGTTTTAGAGGATTTCAAGAGAATTATAAGTCTAAAAGTTCAACACTTGAACATGTTCAGCATGTAGAGAACACATTTCAAAATGTGTTTGACGAGCAGAAGAATAGTTTTGTACTACTTCAAAAACACCTTTGAAAGGCAGAGTATGGATGGCATCCCAAGTATTGCTGTGGAGATCCGAGATCCACACACTTCTGTGAAAAGCTCAACTTCACTTGCAAGCAAATCGATTAAGAAGCAGACCTCGCAGCCAAGCTTGACTGATTTCTCATTTGAGCATCTCAATTACACCGATTTCATGATTAGGTTTGTTCAGATTAATGGGAAAAACAAAAAGAATCCATGGTCAAAATACTGGAAAAAGAGTTTAGGTTAATGAGCGAGGACACCGGTGTTTATGAAGCAGCTGGTAGGGAGAGCCTGGGAGGAGAAAAAGAGAACAGCTGCCTGCAGATAAGCACTAAATTCAAACACAGGAGCAAAGTGAAGGGGAACATGCTGGTGTGCTTTTAACACATCAAGTGGCAACACAAAAATGCTGTGCATGAATACCGATCATCTCACTCAGCTGATTAGTACCTCTAGGTTATGTCTACACCAGTGTGTAATAGGGCCCCAGGGAGCGAACCTGGCTTCTTAGTCCCTGACCATCTGCTTTCCCATTGTGGCAATGGATGCGTCTCCAACTGGGGCTGGGAATGCAGAAACAACAAGTGAAATGTGCCAGGCTTTTCCAGGTCTAGTCCTTTCCAGAAACATAAAAAAAAAGAAGAAGGAAAAGCAACAAACATCTTAAGTGATGTATTTCTTGGGAACTAACAGCAATATTGGCCATGTTATTTCATTCTTTTTTTTGGCCAGTCTGTTCTCTGACTCAGAGCTCTCAGTGGTATGTACCCTGCTCCTTGTAAGGCTGTGGTCTAGACTGGACTACTAGAGTTGAAAATGAACCCTTTGGTGTCTGTCATTTAAGAAGTGTGGGTCCCCTTATGGATCCTGGAGCACGAGAACACTTACTCAGCATAGCTGTATTAATTCAGACTCTAGGGGAGAAGGTGGCAGTAGACTGAGACCAAATGACGGAAACCAGATCTACTGCCAATGGAGCATGAAGCTGGGCCCTTTGGGGTAGCAGTTGGTGGACAGGGGAGGTATGGATGTATCCACATTGCTCAGCCAGCAATTCCAGTCATACTCTGGTCACAGCCTGCTCATTTCCCCATGATCCTGTGTTCTTCATGCTGGGCATTCTCTTTGCCCTAAGTGATCTCCCCCATTTGGCAGCTCAGCTCTGTGTGAGAGCTCACCAGGCCTTGTATGAGGCACTGAAAACAAAAATCCTTCAGCACAACAGATTTGACCTCTTTGTTTTCTCGCCTGAGGCACACTACGGTTTCTTCCTGTTTGTCTCTGTGGGTGGAACAGGCATTTCAGTATACGCTGCCACGTTCATTACAGGGAGTTCTTCCTGCTAGAGATATTAACATCTTTGTTATTACTGCCAGTTCTCTCCTCCCCCGTACCAAGCGGTCGCCTGAGCTAGAAATTCCTTTTAAGGACAGACTCCCAGTAGTAGTGTTCTCCTCTTCAAAGTGGAGAAGATCTCTTCAGAGGTCAGTTCCTTCTGCTTTCTCAGAATCCTGCCTCCCCCATATTCCTTAGAAAGTCATTATTAAAATCGTCAAACTCCCTCACAAAAATATCACAGAAATTCTAGATATCAGTTTCATGATTACCTCTTTGTAATCATTAACAACTCACAACCATAGTGTTCAAATTAAAAAGTTTTATGCAAGAAATAATGTTTAACATTTCATATAAAGTCGAAGTCTGACACAGCTTATTTTTCAAATGTCATCCTTTTTCTGTTCATCACCCGACAATTAAAAGACTGCAATTAAAAAATTAATCCCAAATAATTTTAAAAACCTTATAAAAACATTCATAAAGTGCCACCCACAAAAGCACCTAAACAAGAATTTGAGAGAAATACATAATTAGAGTGTTAATTTACTTAATTGCTGATGAGGACTAAGCCATCAGACAGCAATGTAATTTAACAGTGATACAACCCAGCAACCCCATTCCATGGATGTGGCCCCAAAGCAGCATCAGCTGGGCCCACAACACGTACACAGAGGCACCCAGCACAGTGTTGTGGGGGTTTCAAATAAATAAATCCTAACGCCATCTAAAACCATGTACACCAGCACGGGAGACATGAAGGTTCTGTGGGAAGCAGTCATCCCAGGCTGTGGCCTTACTGCGAGGGAAACCCTAGCCAGTTTGTACAAACTTTAGCTGGTGTTTTTTGGGATAAAAAGCACTCCCCACTAGAAATAGCAGAAAGAGGGACTGATCCTTGGAACGTCTCTGCGTTTGCCTTGAACGGCCTTGAACGTACTGTACCATGAAAGTACCTCATCCCTACAAGAGGGGCTTCAGGACAACCACCAACACCACAATGAACATTCACTAGTTCTTTGCTCCAGCATCTGGGCAGTGCTCACTACTCACAAACAGATTTATCCAGAAGCAAAGGGGACAGGCTCTGAGGGTTCTCTCCCCCAAAATTCACACCCCGTGCGAGATGTTCAGGGAGCAGCTTTACACCTTCCCAGCACTAGGATGCTTCCTATGGTCCATACAGCTTTCTCCTCTCCACCAGCTACCCTGCTTGGTGTTTCTGGTGGCGCATCAGCTGGGGCTGGAAGCAGAAGCTCTGCCCGCCCTGGCAGCAGTGGTAGGGCTGCTCCCCAGTGTGGATGCGGGTGTGCTTGATGAGGTTGGAGTTGCTGCTGAAGCCCCGGCCGCACTGGCTGCACTTGTAAGGCCTCTCTCCAGTGTGGGTACGGGTGTGGTTAAGGAGGTCGGAGCTCTGCCCAAAACACTTCCCACCTGCCTGCAGGTGTAGGGCAGGATGCCGGCGTGGGCCCGCTGGTGCTGCAGGAGGCAGGAGTGCTGGCTGAAGCTCTTCCCGCAGGCCGGGCACTTGTAGGGCCACTCGCCCGTGTGCAGCCACTGGTGTTTGAAGCAGGTGGAGCTGCCGCTGAAGAACTTCCCTTAAAAGGGACTCAGAGCTGCCTCGTTTCTAATAACTGATCCACATTAGGACACGGACCAGACGTGTCGGACTCTGAACTGGTTGACAGCAATCACAGATACAGGTGTAAGCAAAGAGGAAAACCAGCCATACTTACACTTCCTTAATAATGACAACCAAAAGACTTATTACTCTCCTAAGAGTATTTTAAATACAAAATTACTTTTTAGACACCAGAACTGGATTTTCTTACTTGCTAACTCACCTCTTCTTTCTCCTCTAAGATTCTCAGGCTAGGGGAGAAAGACCCCCAAAAAAAGCAATCTGATGTCTTGTCTGCTCTAGCTGTATTCTCTCAGATGCCAGCCTGGCATCCCTGCTGAGCTCCAACAACCACCATGAATGCAACTCTCGGGCAGGGTGCTCTTACAAATGCCATCATCACCCAAGACAAGAATTTTTCCATCACTATTTATTACTTTGAGGCCAAACCCAGACAAACAGTAAGCAACAGCAGTTAGCAGTTGCTGCAGAAAAAAAGGCAGAAGGACAGGGAAAATACACTGGTAAGAAAAATCCCACTTTATTTTAAAAAGTAAGAATCAAAGATGTCAGGGAAGGGATACCATGGGGATGAATCTATACCCAGAGAGCAACGTGCACCACAGGTAAAGCTGAGATCACGTACAGGAATATTTTTAAAGCATTTAACACATTACTTTCTTTCCCCCCTCTTTGATTCTTTATAGGTACTTAATACCAGTTTGCATCACTTCAAAGATGCTGTACTCATCTTCAAGCTACCAATCTCTCTGGACAACCAATACCTCTGGACAACCGCTCAGGCTCCAGATGGCATTGACTTAACTGGACAGATGAGCGCTGGTGCAAATAAACACAGCAAACTGATGGGTGCCTGGTCCTGGACTGCTTCATCCACCAAAACCAGTTATTTAACAATGGGTATTTTAATAAGGGACTGGATTGTGTCAGAATCAAGGAGACAGCTCAGATGAATGGAACGGTTTTGGACCTTGAATGCCAGTGACCACAAAACCACCAGTCTTGGAGTCTTTTATCCTATGTGGCAAAGCTGGATAGAAAGAAAGTTAGCAAGCAAAAGAGACAGACTGCAGTCTTACTCTGAAGAACCATGAAGAAAAAGATAATCAGACAAGCACAAAAGAAGCCTTAGCAAAAAAACCTCCCCCCTCAAAATCAACCCAACAAAATAACAAAAAAACTCCCAAACCTTCAAAGCTAATAATCTCAGTCCCTACTTAAAATATTTGCTGAAGCTGAAGTGGACCACCCCTGCAGATGGGTTGTTTCTGAGGCAATAGACAAAGGTAGGTTGCTTTCTGCAGCCCCGCAGCTCTCAGGATTTTGCCACTACCGAGAATTTCTGCTGCAACAGTCTGGCAGAACAATCCAACCAAGCTATTTACATGCTGCAGTGTGTACCAGATGGGCCACCCCCACTCCAGAGCAGGAGAAGTCAGAACCATATCCACACACAGACCTTTCCCCCAGGCAATTCACCACAAACAGAAGGGTTTTGCTCTGGAAGCTGTCAACAAACAGGAACTTTGGAGGAGCAAATCCACCAGCATTTCAAAGGTGGTACCAGCACCTGACAAATGCCCAATGATCACCACCCCGGGAAACATCTAAGCAGGCAGACGAAGTACAAGGAAGAGTTCCCTTCTGACCCTGCCAAAGCTTCCTAGCTTGGGTTGCCACTGACACACAGCTGCTATGCTCAGATTTGCTAAGCAGCTCAGCAGAAAGCAGATAACCTTTGTACAATTAACAGGATAGTCTGGAGAAAGATTCCTATGATCACAGTCACATCTCTGTGAAAGGAGGGGACAAACCTCATCAACAGAGGAGACCTTCCTGCAGGGATTTCATCTGTTACTTGCAGAAGCACATGTATTGGGTTATTGCTTGAATGTGGAAACTGAAACAGGGGCATGTGGATTTACTGCAGGCAACATCCACAGCTTTACTAAAACTAGATATGCAGGATATCCAAATCAGGGGCTTTGCAAACACACCACACTGTTCCTGGGGCCCCGGCTTTAGTATTGTGATAGCATATTTTTGTAGCTGGATCCTACAACAGATGTTCTTTACCTTGGCTACTCATTTTCTCTTCCAAACACTCATCTCTGTTCCTCTCATGGCTTTACAAAGGTGTAGGGGTTATGGGAGCTCCATCCTTTCAGCTTCTCGTGCTCCTGACTTGCCACCAAGTAGCTCTCCACATGGTCGTGCCGGGCACAACAGCATAAACTCCAAATTTAGAAGGCAGCGTTCAAACCCTCCTCTCCCCAGCTATTTTTTGGGGGGATAGATAACGCTTGCAGTAAAGTCAAAAGGTGAGGATTTTTTTTTTTTTTTTTTTAATCAGAGAAAGCGGTTCAGCATGCAGCTGCACGCATTTCTCTTGGGCGCGACGGGAGCCCCCCCTTCCCCGCACTGTCAGGTTTGTTCATGGAGAGAACGACCGCCTTCCTGCGCAGCTCCGCGCCCGGCTGGGGAGCGGGTGGACGGGGACAGGGAGCGGAATGGGAAGGACACCGAGGAGGGGGCGTACAGGAGAGGGCGAGCGCGACGTGGCTTTTGGCAACAAGGAATTTCCACGGGGCACGGGTGCAAAGGTGCTGCGACCGGAGGCAGCGGGTGGGAGCTGCGGCAAGACAGGCGTCTGCTCTGCGGCAGGTGGGAAGCGGCGGAAACTGCATCATCAGTAAGGGATGCGAGCACACAGGGATGGTAACAAAAGGGACACGCCGGCGCTCCCCTGCTCCGAGCTGCCTCCTGTCCTCTCCTCCTCAGGCTCCTTCCTCCGCATGGCCTGCACACAAAGGCTCTGCGTTCAGAGGGGGTGTCAATCCCCGCTCCCAGCCCTGCCCCAGGTGCCGCCTGCCTGCGCCCCGGCGGACGGGGACGGCGCCAATCCTACCTTAGGGCAACGCTGCCGCCCGGCCTCCCGGCTTCCCGATCTGCGGGCAAGGGGCGCTGCCTGGGCGGGGCAGCCAGCTGGGATACTCCCGGGATACCCCTTTTCCGCCCGCAGCCCTCCCGGTGCCCCCCCTTGCAGGAGCCCGACCCCGGGAGCAGGGATGGGCTGTTCGCCTTTGTAGCCGCCCCTCTTAAGGAGCCTTAAGCCCAGAACCTCTCCGCAGGGAGATGCCCAAAGACGGGTCCTCGCCCACCGCAGGGGTTTGATGCAGCACTGTGGGTTTGTGGCCCGTCCATGGCTTGTTTCATGTGCTGGAGTGCTTCCCCTTGTGTCCTGGTTTCGGCTGGGGTGCAGTTCATTTCTTCTCAGTAGCTGGCACAGTGCTGTGTTTTGGGTTCAGAATGAGAAATAACGTTGTAATTCAAGGATTTGTGTGTGTGTGTCACGCTCTGCCAGTGAGGAGGTGCACAAAAGAAACTGAGGGAGCATAGCTGGGGCAGGTGACCCAAGATGGCCAAAGGGATATTCCACTGGATATTCCCCGGCATATAAATTGGGAGGAGTTACCCAGAAGGTGGGCTGATCTGGGTTTGGGAAGGAGGTCTGGCATTGGTGAAGAGGTGGTGAATGATTGTATTGTGCATCACTTGTTTGGATTTTTTCCTTTCCCTTTTTATTACCATAATTATTTACCATTATTACTGTATTTTACTTTGTTTTCAACTATTAAACTGTTCTTATCTCGACCTACAAGTTTCACTGTTTTTTCTCCTCCCCATTCCAGCAGGGTGGGGGTGAGAGAGGGAGGTTGAGTGAGGGGCTGTGTGGTGCTTATTTTCCAGCTGGGCTTAAACCACAACACGGGTGCTGTAACATCAAACTATCAGGTCTAACTTCAGGGCAGAGGGGAAGCAGCTAAAGTTGGGTGTGTAGTACTTGTCAGTGGTAGAAGCAGGACACACAAAAGCTCACAGCGGCTCCCTCTGATGGCACCGTGCCATGCAAAGTGGGAGAAAAGATAGAAAATCACTGTTCTGGAATTACTTCCTTTATTTGGAGTTTCCCCAGTGGAATGAAATGGACATGTGGTTTTACAACACGGTACCTGCTCCTCTTAATTTCTCCAGGTGTCTCATACCCAAAGGGAAAAAGGTAGATAACCACGTGTTTTCTTGAAATGTGGTGGGAAATGTGAGAGCTTGGTGTGCTTGAATTGTGCATGAATTCTTCCCTCGCTGATGTTGGAAGGCTTTTCTTGCTGTGGTGACTTGGATGTTTGCCGTTTTCTTTCCATGGTGATCACTTGCGTTTTTCTACTACCTCACCAGAGGACCAGGAGCAGGTTTGAAGACAGAGGAAGCCACCCTGTGGCCAAGGCCGGAGACAGCAGGAAGACTTCACGAGGCCATAAAAAATATGTTGCTTTTCACCTTGGCCACTGTTTCGGAACAGATAAATACACTGTTTTTATGGATGATGGTTTTTTCAAGCCACCACTTGTTCCTAGGTGGTAATACAGAAAATTACCCAGCCTTTCTAGGAGCTAAAACATCCTCGTACATAGTGTGTGCTTAGCAGTGGTACGAGACAGGCCGGACTGAGATGTAGACCCAAATGAGGGCAAAGAAATGAGCAGTTTACCAAGGAATCTGCAAACCCTTCCTGCTAACAAAGTGAAAAACACTCAACTTCCAGATTCCCGTTTCACTCCAAGCTATTGTTAGCAGGGCACAAGTGATCTGAATTAGTCAGAAACCTAAGCCACTGTGTACCCTGAACTGTATGGGAATGGCAGCAAGAGACAAATGAACAGGGTACAGTGTTGTCATGTGGAGGCTTTGTTTGTTAAAGTTAAAACATCAATTTGCATTTAAGAGTTTTTCTGTTGGAGAAGTGGTGACTGATACAGGCTCATTAGGCTCGCAGTCTATAATTTCACAGGCTGTGTACAGATGGAGAAATGGTTGCCAACAAAATAAGATGGGAATACTGAAATAGAATGAAAGGGGAAACATGGTCCCACCAATTTACAAAATAATACAACTGACAGGCACAGTTGCTGCATCTTTATGATGCTTGTACCATACAGCACATTTGCTTAGAAGTGTGGAGGGTTGAAGATCACTCTAAATGTATGCAAAAGAATGAAAGAGAAAACTGGCTGCTTGCTGGATCTCCATCACTGGAGGTTTCTGAAATGTGACCAGACAAAGCCCTACCTGACCTGATCTGGTGCTGGTGATAGTTCTGCTCTGAGCAGAAAGCTGGATTCCAGGAGTCTCTTCTAGTCAACATTTCTGGGATTTTTTGTGACCCAGATTTGAGCAATTATGGGTTGCCATAGAGTCTGCATCCTGCAGTCAGCTCAATAATTGAAAGTTGGTAATTTGGGAGAAATCGTCATAAAAAGATTTGGCTGTCTTGAAAATGCATAAAGGAATAAAGTGCACAAAATGGGTAATGTGACCATATTTCAAGGAAAAGGGAAAGAAGCAAAGTATCTCCAGGTTGATATAAATGGCAAGCCAGCACTTATTAGATCACCATTAAAATAGAACTGCCTGAATCATGTCAAGTCTTGGCTCCCTTTTTTACTGTATCAGAGCAATTTGCAGTGTTTGATGACTTTGAACTTCAGCTGACTAGGGATTTAGGAGTCACCTTTCCTTTTGTTTTTTCGTTTTGACATGAATGATATATCAGTTTTTAAAGGCTCTATGCTTTTAGTGTTAGAAGTATTTTGTTTTTAAAAAGTCCACAATACTTAAATAGTTGTAATGACCAAGCCCCCCATGAATGAAGAGCTTGTTGGAGAAAAGCAATGAAAAAACCCTGGTGAGAATAACACTAGATAAGAAGTACTAAACTGTCTTTCCAGTTTGCAGTAAGCTCTAGCTGGCCTTAACCTTTACAGTTCTCTGAAAGGAATGCCATACCTACTGAGCAGTCTTTACAGTAATTCATCTACACTGAGCAAAAATGCCATCTGAATAGAAGGAAGTAAACTTTAATAAAGACATTTGAAGGATTGTGGCTGCCCACAGAAGATTGTTTCTTAAACTTAGGTATTGATCAACCATTTTCACCCGCACTGAAAGAACTTTTGGTGTGGAGGGATGTATCAATCACTTAAATGCAGAGAGCATCAACACACTGAAGTGCTGCTAAAAGAGAAATAAACAAGAATGTTTTGCTGTTTTACTCTTCTTCAAGCCCATTTGACAGGAAACTCTTTTTCAAGTATTTCAGCTCCATCAACACATGCAGTTTTCCATAGCCTAAGTAAGATTGCTTGTTAACACTGCAAAAAGTTAAGTGCTTTCCATGAAGATAATGACAGCCCTTGGTTTAGATATGAAGTATTAAGGCTTCCCCCTCCCCCAGTAGTTTCTAGTATGGGAATTACAGAATCACAGAGAGGTTGAGGTTGGGAGGCACCCCTGAAGATCACTTAGTCAAACCCCCTGCTCAAGCAGAATGAGCCAGAGCAGGCTGCTGAAGGCCGTGTCCAGTTGAGATCTGATATTTGCACATCTCCATTGCATTGCAGGGAAAAACAAAGGGCATGAAGCAGACTAACACCAGATTGATTGAAAAATCGAAAAGGAAGCAGTTCCTGTATCAGTGCTAAAATGCGACTTCCCCAATGTGGGCATGTGCCTGTGGAAAAAACAGGACAACAAGCAAACTGCCAAAAGCTTGGCTGCATCACTGTGTCATGTTCTATTTTTTAATTGTTCAGGGCAACTCCATTGTGTTACAAGGAGATACACATTCTTCAGACTACAATGTGTGCCAGTAATCTGAGAGGACTCCAGCTTAAGATATTCATAATATGTCTGGGTAATAACTGCTGCTTTGAGCTTCTTGCATTGAATTGTATCTGCTAGCAGCCTTAAAAATGGATGCAGAAAGAAATGCTTTCTGTCAGGAGTCTCAAGGACACCTATGACATCCTGGAACTAAAATGGCCATCAAAGCTATTACAAACACATGATCAGGGCAACCCTTTTCTGCCACAAACTTCTTGCTAGGTTTGGTTCAAGCTTACTGGATAAATTGCGGATTTTCCAAATATAAAAAAAAAAAAAAATGTGTGCACATCCATGGATCTGCTATTTTTAATGTGCTGTTTTGTTTACAAATGATGACACACTCTCCTTTTTTGTAGAAATCAACCTCAGTGTCTTTGGCCAATTACACATGAAATGCAGAATTGAAGTTATGTTTTGTGCACCTGGTTCACCACTTTGGCAAATAAGATGGAGCTGAGGAGATTTGCTGTATTTGATGTTTAACCTCCCCTGTAAAGCAGTACAGTAATCGTTGAGGTTTGCATATGAACACACTTGTAGACCATCAGTCTGTAGCTGACATGTTTGAAGGTTATTGTAAGGAACCTGTGATGGATCCTTCCCTCACCCAGAACGAGGAGTTGCTGTCATTGTGTGGTTTTTAAGACTCTCCAAGTAAAATAGAAGGAAAAAAAAGCCCTTGTAGAGATAAAGGAGTGTAACAGCTGGGGGAGGAGAATCAACCAGTGGGTAAGCAAAGGCATTCCCAGCACTGAGTAACTGCAAAAAAAAAATAAATTCAAGACAAGACTAGAACAAAGAACAAGTGAACACACCTGTGTGAATTTATCAGAGCCAGCCTCCAATCTCCCAAGGCTCCCGGGCCAATAGAGTGGTGTAAGCTTGACTGTTGGAGACAGAACAGAATGGAGGCTGTGTTTATATCCCCAAAATAGCTTACCACTTGTTGGGGATGAGGAAAACCAAGAAAGAGCATTCGCTGCATGGAAAGACCAAGGGAAGGGAGAAGTTTCATTTGAGGACTGGAAAACTAATTCTGCTATTGCCTCTACCTGCAACAACCATGGTGATTAAGGACTCTACAGTGGTAGCTGTGTTAAATCTGTGAAAACCTATTCGTAGGTTGATTTTCCCCATTTTCCCTCATGGACTTTTTGCCTGTCAGGCATAGAGACAATCCCTCATTGGTCCGTGTACCCTGGGGTACGGACCAATCATGTTTCCCCCAGTTATCTCCTCCCTTGTCCCTACCTCTTAATGTTTATTCATGTCCCTTTACCCAATCTCTGTTAGCGGATTTGCATGCTCCGCCCCATCTCCGCCCAGGTTCCAGATCTTTCCTTAACGAACCCTATAAAACCCCCCATTTTGCATTAATAAAGTTGAATCAGCCCTTGGCTGTGCAGGTGTTCAGACGGTTGTCGTGTGTCTCTTCTTGGGGCTGCGTCATTCCCTGAACTTAACCTGCTAGCCTTATCCTTGGCTGCTACCTTAACAGCTAAAAGCTAGCCAAGAACCCCCGTCGCTGGTTCGTTCCTTTCCCCGCTTCAAAACTGCGACAACCACTTACAGGAGTGACTTATCTCAGTTGCTGATTGTGTAATTACCCATTTTATGGCTTTGCTATGCTCTTATGAAAACCAGGTAAGGCTGGAAAAACCTGAAAAGCAACTGGGAAGCTGCACTGAGAAGTTCTTTCAACAGATGCTCAATTTTGTCACATCTTTAGAAGACAGGTGAGATTTAAACAGTTTGGTTAAATAGGCTAAATCTTTTTGCTTTGCTATGAAGCCTGTTTCCTCCTACCAAGGGACAGGGAGACTGGAGGAGGATGTGCATGTGTGCCTGAGAGAGGGAGCTGGCCCAGTGGGAATCCCTGCGGCTCAGGACCACAGTGGTTGTTGGGGCCGAGACGTGGGGAAGGGTGGGAA